GTATTGCCATTGAAATTTAAGCAAYAGAAAGAAGGTAATATAGGTTAAAAGAATATTTCTTATCTTATGAAGATTGAAAATAATCGAGAGTCATTGTTAGTTATATAGTGATCTTAATATTATGTTAAATTAAATATGTATTGAATGAAAACAGAAAGAAATAATAATACAAGAAAARCTATAAAAATATKATAAAAAGATAAAAGTTGTCGCTCTAAATCAAAAAGTTGAWTACAAATATTAATATAGATATTAAACATACAATAGTTGATCGTAGATGATTTAGCTTTTTAATWTCMGACTTTTAAATAAACATACAATTGTTCTTCGAAATATTAAAAATAATATTAGGYTATTCTAATYCTTTTTTTTWGTATAATGTATTAACACAAAATTATTTACTAATAATAAAACAATTTGTAATTGCATTAGGAACATATTAATTTTATACTAAAATGTTTTTCTTCTCGATTTGCTCTGAGTAAAGGCGTTGATGATTATGATTTGATTATAAATAATTTTTTGATATCTCTTGATCAATTGAGAGCAAATAGCAATGTAATGWTGGTTTATTTGTCTTGTTAGATTGAATATCTTAAATACGACTTAATTATTTTGAGTTTTGAAAAACTCCTTTTTGCACTAGTCAATGCTACATGGTATCTTCAAAATTATTCATAATGCGATTGTAATATTTGGAAATGACCCATCAGTTTTTTTCCATTTTCCATTTWCTCTGTAATTTTTCAAATATTCAAGAAGCCCAAAGATCAATTTAGTTAAAACATATTATGTATATATTGTGGTTCAGTATATTTTTACTTACGATATTCGTTTTCATTGAAATAATTCAATAGACGTCGGTAGAAAATAAATATTTTAACTAATTATTATGATACACTAGATACGCAACATGACTATATACTAACCTAAATAGGTGCGATTACAAAAAAACCATTTTCGTCCGGTTTGAGTATATCCCCACTATTCTATAAACAAAACCATTGCTCATATTTCTCCGCATTTCATTGGTCGGCAATAGATATAATAGAAGCGGAGAACTTCGCGGTAGACGAGGCAAGGGTGGTATGCGTATTTTCAAAGTTGTGATCATACCTATTAATTTAGTCATGATACGCAGTACGCACGCAATACGGTTGTACTATAAAGAACAAACAGAACGCGCGTCAAAGCGATAAATGGCTCGTCGCGCGTCGGCGTGGTGCTTTCACACGCGTGAATTACGCGACGTTGTACATAACAACTTACAAAATCACGCCATGTGAAAATAACGCTTTCTGTTTGACAGAGCCTCAAATTAAATAGTAAATTGTAATAATAATTTTATAAAATGAAAACTTACTAGTTACTTTTGTGGTAGGTATGCAGAAACCGTTGAAAAAATATAAGACCGCGGACTGCGAGTTGCGGTCAAATTCTCAAATACTCAATTGACAAACATAATATTATATTATTATATTAGAATATTAAATTATTAAATTTTAAAAACAAARATGCCGCCTGCCCTTTTTATAATACGGCAATACGTGGAAAACCATTCTAAATAAAGAACAGAGAAAACAATAACTATAAAGATAATAAATATTTTATTTTTATTTATTAACAAAATAACATTTACAATCTGTRCATARTAAAATACAAWAAGCAAATATGTTTACAATTATAATAGTGACTTTGGATACATGAGAAGGGAAGCTATCCAGTGATAGGACCCTTTTGAGTTGAGACGTTTAGGACATGGAATAAATATTTATATTATTAATTATAGTAGGTACCTATACTCCTACAATCCTACTGGGCGGTTATTGTCAAAATATTACTCTTTCGTCGTATCGATAACGATTTACTTCATACTATGGCTAATTTTGGATATAGTTTTCCAAATAACTGGTGATATAGAAATAATATTAATATTATACAATATGTGCAGTATAGAACAATAAATGTATAGATATTTTATGATTTATCAATGTAAAATCTTAATGTGTTTCACGGTATTAAGACGATGATTAAAAATCGCGAGGCCCTTTAACAGGGCCCAAGACATATTAATATGTTCAATTTGTCCTCCCCTAACATTGGCGCTTTCTTTTGACTGAGCCTTGATTGATCCATGACTATAAGTGCTGTTTGTTGTACAGTATCTTATTTTTTTATTAACACTATTATCAATTGGTCTGGTGATGTATTTTTAATTTTAGATCAACGTTTCTTCATATTCATTTGACTAAAATAATTTATCATATAAATATTTATAATAATTTGCAAAGATCAATTTTAGGTTACTTAAATCTAAATGTTACACCATAAAAATATGCCTGCATATTATTTTATCATAGGTATTTAATTAAAGTAACTAGATATTTACTCTTATTTTGTTCATTGCTTCATTGCTTCTCTATTATCAACATAACAATGATCATGAATGAGAATTCAGTTCAAAATGCATATGTTGCAGACTTGCAGTTAGGTTTACGTAGCTGTTTTTAATAATAACAATGTTAGTATTTAAATGGTATAGGTACGTGAATTAAATGCATTCGATCTGAATTTTGTTTACTTGTTTAGGAACTATTGTGTTTTCACAAAATATATTTTTCAAAGTATTATAAAATATTTTTAATTATATAATAATATTATTGTTAATTGAGTAGATACACTGTGCAATTTTTCTATATTTAGTCTCATTTCTCAAAAGTTTCTATTTAATTTTTTTCTGGAAGCCTTCAAGCCTATTCCGAACATGTATCATGTATAGATAATATCGATTCGATATCAGCTATGGGGATGTACAAGTTCTGCACAACTAAAATAATGTCCATGTACGTTTCGTGAAAAGTTTTCCATAGGCATTGTGTTAAGTAAATTAGTTATACAAGTGTACGGAGAAAAAAATTTGTTTCGTGAAACGGATGAAGTTTCTGTTATTTTTGTATAATTGATTTTAACCACAAATTAATGAGTCATAATATTTAATCGTAAGCTGTATGCAACAGTTATAATGCGGGTCGCGGTTTCTCAAGAAAGTTAAATATTAATTTGGAAAAGTACCTATAATTATTGATGAAAACACATCGTTAAGTTACTCTGTAGCCTGTACAAACTAAAATTTGATTCTTTTTATGGATTATTAAATTAYAGGTACCTATATATAAGAAATAAGTATAGAATTATAAATAATAGTGAATTTAACTGATTACAATGTCTAAAAAGTATTAAGAATTATAAAAAATAATGTTGATTCAATAAATTCACTAGTATATCAAGTATAATTTATACAAGAGTAGGTAGATATATTTTTTTATTTACACATCATATTTGATGATATTATTCTGTTCACTAACATATTTAATTTATTTAGGTATAAATAGGTGATATTGTGCTAGGTRGCAAATTACAAAAAACTATAGATAGAGCGTGTGTGATATAAACAATTAAAACAAAAAAACAATTGATAGAAATGATAAAAAAATTATAAGAACATATTTTTTAAGGGCTTGTTTATATATGATTAGTGATTACATATAAATAAAATGAAGTTAAGAGGACGTTATACACATATTTGTTATCTCCGTCTTACATGCAAAATGCAAGTGCGCAACATAGCAAATTTACGCTTAGCAGATCACGTTTAGCTCAGGTACATAGTTTAAAAATTAAATTGACCTATTATGAAACTTGATGTTAAGAACATTATCTGTGTTTGCATGTGGATTTTTTACGACAACTTAGTTTTTAAGTGAGTTATGATCATTTTTAATTTACGCTTTTTTATGTACYCATAACTTGCTACAAAATTGGACAATCCTAAAAAACCCACATACAAACACAGATAATGTTCTTAACATCAAGTTTCATAATACATTAATACATAGATCTAATTTTTAAATTAACTGAGCTAAACGCGATCTGCTGAGCGTAACATGTCAAAAACTGTTTCGCGTGGGAAAGAACCCAGAAAGCTACARTTATAACTAAGAAATTAAATGTTCACGATATAAAAAGGAGAATTTCGTTTGTGCAATATCGTTTTTATATTTTCGATATCATTTATACAATAAAAGTTCTTATTGTTTCATATTACATTATTTTTGTGTTTTTTAAGCATAAATAAATTTTTTTGTAATTATTCTGATATTGAAAAAATAAAAATGATATTGCACAAATGAAATTCTCCTTTTTATAATATGGTGAAAATTTCATTTTATTTATAACTGTAGCTTTCTGGGTTCTTTCCCGCGCGAAACAGTTTTGCTATGTTACGCACTTGTGAGACSGAGACAACACATGCGGGTGTGGCATAAGTAAKTGGCTTAAGTAAAATTATATAAAAGGCAGAAAAAAAAAACTAAAATCTGTGGCATAGACACATTTAGAGTACCTACCTATTTTATTCCAAAGTCCTGATTCTTGCATTTAAAAATTCAAATCGCTAATAATTAACGTTTGTGCTTTTTGGTTGTGGTATATAGTATATACTAGTATGAACGATGTCATTATGTTCTACACGTTATATTTAATGTTACAGCTAATGTTTAAAAAATACGGTGTCTCCAAATTGCGTGTAAAAATCGTTTTTAGGTAGAATTGCTTGCGTGGTTTTATGGTGACATACTGACGTAGTAGATGATGAGTTGCGTGCGTGTTTTTTTGTGACAGAAGTGATTTGTACGAAATACGAGCTGCATATATTTAATACTCGGTAAAAATGATCAAATTTCTTGATATACAGTAAAATATTTCACATTAAAAAAAATATACAAGAAAATATAATTGTGCACGATGTGATATGTACTTTACTATACCAATTAAATTGGTAAAAATTAAAGATGATTGCCCAAATTCCTAACGAAATCCATCTCATTGTCATGCGAAGTGAATATAAGTCTGACTAAAACGACCTATTATGTTCTTTCCCACTTGCCTTTGACCTGTTGTTTTATTTATTTATTTATTTATTGTTATGTTATTTTTTTCAGTTTGTATCCAATTTTCACGAGGTGTTTATTCCATGTTGGGAAGTGTCAGTCCAGATTCATTTGATACGTTACACTCCTATAGCAATACATTCCAGATGCCATTTGTGACTCCATGGTTTCCTGAACAAGTAAAGAAATACACAAAACATTTTTTTCTTCTTGTTGTCACTTACATGTCTAATGTTTATACATTATAGTTGATATAGAGTTATAATTTTGTAATGTGTTATTGTTGTAATTTAGAAATTATTAAAAATATACTAAAAAAAAAACAAAAAAAATGTACGCTTAGCATGAATGCAAATACAGTTTTTGATTGAGTTTTGTGTTGTGAAATGTTAAATATCGGTTCCAAAGTTAGAATGCACGTCCAAAAAAATAAACGTTATTGTAATATAAATTTATTCGTCGATCTGCAAGTCTGTAATTTAACATTTTAATAGTTGAAATAAATTTAACATRCCAGTGTAGTAAGTTAATGTTTTTATTTTAAAAAAATTACACAAAATTATAAGGTTGGCACTTCCGAAAATTCCTGAAACGTGTCTTTGGGTAATTTCCAAAAATTTTTAGTAAATTTATCAAATCAAAATGTACATTTTTATTATTTATTATTATAATTTTTTAAATTCATAGTTATACGGCTATAGTTAATAGTTATCACTATTTACTTATGATAATAATTTTTATTTCAAAGATACAGCCTATTTATTTATTCTATTGTATCGTAAATGTTATCTTCAAAATAAATCAAAGAACTTAGGTATTTTAATTTTAAATAGGTAACAGCTATAGTAGAGGAATATAGAGAAATATAATATGAGTCTATATTGGGAGTGTACATTTTCACTTCCTGTATAATATAATTTATCTAAGATTATTCTGTCTCAATTTAATCTGTAACTTAATTTATTTTAGCATGAATAATAATTTCACAATATATAATATTCGAATAAAAATCCTCTGTGTACAATTGCCCTGTTTAAGTACAATACATTATTATAATTATTAATATTATTATTATTTTTTTGTTAAACTTTTGTTAGGACAAGTATATTTTAATAATTATTAATTTTTGACCAATGAAAGAACATAACAACTAAATTTTAGTAATATTAGGCGAACTTATAAGTTTTTCACTTGTAACTGAACTTCCTGTGTAAGGTTTTATTTAAGTAGATATCTAATTAAAATATGCCTTTTTATTACCATAGGCGTAGAGTGACTTTATATGAGGGGTCTATAGCCTTTTAATTTTTTTAAAAATAAAAATGTTTCATTTCACATAAATGGGCAGAATTCTGGGAGGGCTTAAGATAATTCTGAGAGGCTAAGTAGAACATTATACTAATTGATCATCATTCATTTCCTTTAATTTTTTAGTTTTGAAATTTAGCACTTTTCTGATCAAGAACCAGATAACTCCATGTTATGTTCAACTTTGAAAAATAGTTTCGGTTACAATATTTAAAACTAGGATTTTGATATTTAGATATAATTATTTATTGTTATGTCCTCAACTTCAATATACCGATAGATKAATCCTATCTTCAATGCAAAATTAAGGAAAGTGTTATATCTTCATCCTGAATATTTTTCCAAAATGGAGTTATCTTGTTGTTGCACCGCACCCTTCAATTTCTTACAATTCTCAGGTATTTCTGAAAATCCCAAGATAAGTTAAATTTACTGAAATTAACCATCCTAACATGATTATTTGATTACAACGTAAAAAAATGTTTTKTACCGAAGATGTCTACTTAATATTACCTATATTCTATATATCACTATAGTGCTGTGAATTTTTGACAAATAGAGAAAAACTTACTGTATTTAACTGATAAATACTTACCATCAATACTATACTTTAATTAATCACTATGTTTAAAATAAATTATAAATTTTGCAAAGTTTTTTCCTTGAATAATTTAAATTTACAAAAAGATACCTACTTAATATTATATTTTTGTACTATACAYCGGTATAGTTTATATAATATAATATATTAATAATCAATATCATTGAAATTAAAATAATATGTACCTATTACTTATACTTTTTCATATAATACAAGCTCATTTATTAGTATGATGAATATTTCAGGTATTGTCACCCTCATCGGGAATGTTGGATTATGCGGTCAGTCTTAGACCAGACTACCACCGTGCAATATTGGATACAGTTCGATATTATGGCTGGACTAATATAATTTACATGTATGATTCACACGATGGTAAGTGAATTTATGTTTATGTTAAGTTTTAACTTCGATTTATTTAAGTTCATCATCTTAACTATGATAAGTTATTCATTTTTTATTTACTCAATGAGACGTTTTTAATATTTTATTATCACTAGGTASGTATGATAAACCGCCAGAATTAACGTAAATAATGAATATTGTTTTGATTATCTTTGTTGGATTAAAGGGACAAAGGGTTAAACATAATATAATTATTTATTATTACTTTCTCTCATTCAGATTTAAAATGAAATATTTATTTATTTAAATATTCTATATTATTTTTATTATATCTCATCAGTTTTACATATATTATATGATAATTTGAAGGTTTTTTACCCTCATTCTAATAACTAGTTGGTGTAGATTTTAAAAATATTTAAACACTTTCTTCAATCTCCATAAGTCTACTTACACGTTACACTCGAACCTCATAACTGTGCCTGGCAACTCATATCAGTGACTTTTGTTTTATCTATGKAATATATTTGATAATAACTATTAACTTATACATAAATTGATTTTCTAGGTATCTATTTATTATTACCTACGTATTTATGTACATTTTACTTCATAGTGTTTCTAAATAAAACTTTAAAGATGAACTTGATAAAATCCATTGTACTACCATAGTAGTATAAAATACGTTTAATCAACATTGAATATCTGTTTAATAACCATGTCTAATATACAGATGATCTACATTTAATATCTATATAATAACCATGTATAAAATACGTTTAATCAACACTACCAACATTTTGAATTTATTTTAAAAGTCCCTTCACATTCTATTTAATTTAAATATTTCTTTTCTAAAAAAGTTTCATTCATTTTGTCATTTAAATTTCTTCAGATGCATTATTAATACTCTTTAGAATAAAGAGTTTTAGAGAACATTGAAATGGTTAATCAGTTGGAATAAAAAGTAAGGGTAAATAATACAATCCTTTTCGATTCCAATCTAAATGTTTTTTTTTTTTTTATTATTACCCATTATACACCGATATTATTACAAAGCACATCAAATGTTACAAAATTCTATTGTTAGACATTTTAGATAATATAAAAACGTATCCAGKATGATCAAAATTTAGGGTACCTATCTAACACTAAATATTGCTGACGGATGACCTTTAATTTGATTTGTGATTTGTCATTGCATAACGGTTTTAAGATTACACTTATTTTATAAAACCCTTTTTCTCGTATGCGCAATAGAATCAAATGTTTCGAGTTGCTCCCTCCCTTGGTTCAATTAGTCCCTTGGACCAACCACCAAATATATTCAATTTCTAGACAAATATTGTTCGAACACAATAACGACTTACCGTTATTTTAGTATTTAAAGCTTTTAATACTTTATTACATAGTTTTTTTTACGTATTATAGTATGTTTGCTCTCAGTCAATTTGATTAATATGTAAAATAATTTAAAAATTACATTTTCATTAATTATTTGTTATTTTTGTTATACTACCTTTGGGMTTTGAAGGCATATTGTTTTAATATTATTATTTTAAAATACCATTCTATACCGAGAATATCAGTAATTTCAAAACAAAATTTAAATTATTAGGTATATGATGAAATATGATTTACATATAAATCGTCATTTAAAAAAAATATTGATTCAAATAATGTAATAAATAACATTGACTTCTTAATATAATTTATTCATTTACATATTATTCGTTCTTAATATTATTCAATTTTTTTTTTTTATTATTATTTATATTTAATAAAAGCTCTTAAAAAAWATAATAAGTTCTTACGAATTCATAAATATGTTGTGTTTGTTATATTCTCATAAGTTTGGTTGCATTATCTTATTAGTTATTACAGTACTGAAGAGACAAATCGTATTAAAGATTTTAAATAATCATTTTATGCTGTGTAACTATTAATTTGGTTGGGAAATAGTCTTAGAGGTACGATCAATACCTATTTAATTTCTCAACTATAACTAATGACTCATGACTCATGAGCATTATTATTGCTTGATTCTAAAATTATTAATTAAAATTATATATACTATGTTAATATTTTTAAATTTTTTACGAGTTTACCTTAAATTTTATTTATACAATTATTGTAGACTTAAACAACTTCTCCCAATAATCAATTTTTGAAATATCATTAACTTTAGTATGATTTAAATGTTCAAAGACAAATAGTAATATATATTATATATTATTTGATTTTTATGTCCTAATAAAAATAATTGCTTAAAATATTTTGTTAGCTTTTTTTAGGTATATGTTTTGAAGATTGATATTGGTAATATAGATCATATTTGAGGCATTGTTCATTTCAAAGAATACGTGTTTTTATTGTTATAAATTCGATAGTTTCAAGATACCAATAATTAGGCTTTGTCAACATTGAAATATATATTAAAATACGAACAAYACAAACTGGTTACTTATACACTAATTTAATATTTTTCAYGCTATTTAAATTAAGTTTCAAGCGTCAAACTTATATAGCCAATATAGTATATACCTAATGATGAATAGGATCATTTTTATCATCAATTATTTTTATTTTTCCAATCATGGAATTTACAAAATATTAAGCCACGGCCCTATCATTTAGTAAAAATGACTCAAATTAAATATTGATTAATACCAAAGCATTAAAATAAAATGACATTAAAATATGAAGACAAAGGCAAATTTATGCACAAATAAGTATTCATAAGACACAAAAGACTCTTTATGTGTAAAGTAAAAAATAATACTCGCTAATGGAAAGTGTTCTTTTATTTTTAATAACCATTTATTGTGGAATGCACTTGTTAAAAACTAAGTAAAGAAATAATAAATATCTGGCTTTGTATTTTTAGTAATTTTTTACTAAGAAAAATATATAGAAGTGTTATTTATTTCATTTACATTTTCGTGATAATTGTAACATAAAAAGCGAACTGCTACTAACACTAATTCTTCATTTTAAATCGAATTTTACAACTCTAAAAAGTGGATTAAACTTTTATAAAAATTCTATTGAGATTATATTCATTTTTATACGTATATGGTTAAAAAAAGTTCTCAAAAATTATTCATTTAATACCTAATTGATATTGTAATATCAAATAATACTCGTTTATATATATGTTTTGATTGTATTAATTTTTTATAAAACGTAGTATTTAAGAATCGGATTAATTAGTAGTTAATATTTATTCAATAAAAAAATACTTAAATTTTGCTAAACAGAAATGTTGTGTAGGTGAAATACACATTAATATGATTTAAAATAAATATTGTTTATCTCCTAAAAATTCCGGGCKCCATTGTAAAAATATTATGTGCTACGATCTAAGTACTTATATATTTTACTCCTAAGAAATAGCTAAAAATTTTAGGCCACCTAAAATTTATTGTTACATATTTTTGACACCGCAATAATATGACAATATGAACTTATATTTTTCATATTGTTCAGTTTTAAAAGCGTTTCTAGCTATACATTTTTGCATTTGGATATTATGTTTAACTTCCAGTTTGTATACGTGATAAATTATAGCATAACTGAGAATTTTATGGAGTACACTGTGTTATACTTTTCACATAACATATATTTTCATGATTACTGTAGCATATGTTTCTGTTTTTATACTTTTCACGGTGGTGAAAATGAATACAATTTCGTTAACTTGTTTTGAATGTATGACATTTGTGTGTACTTTTATGCAATGTTAAAAACTATGAACTACCTATTTATAATTTCGTATTAAGGGTTTTTTTTTCTAACTTTATTCATTATTTTATATCGGTTTTTTAGATACATTATTTTACTCAGTTTTATTTCAGTATTTGTAAAATATAGGAACTCTTGAGCAGATAGAATCTAAACGTCAAACAAATATAGTTGATGTTTGAAGATATTGTGCGCTCAAGGGTGATAAAATTCGTTTGAAATGCAAATATAGATAGGTCTTAGATAGGTACATATAACAAATGCGTTTGTAGAGATGTCTCCTCTGTATGTTAAAACCACAGCCTTATTTAGTCATCATTGTAGCCTCTCTCTTTTGGCGATGGCGTCAAACCTTTGTGTTTGTGAAATATTCTTAACCTCAGGCAAGAAATCTGAAATAGATAATTTAAAAAGTGAAACAGCAAGACAAAACTAATGAGTTTTTGTAAGAAAATGGGATAAGAATAAATAATTAAACTTAATATAATTTGGTTCATGTAACATATCTGGTAGTTTAAAAAAACATTATATAATAATAATGTAATTGTTATTTTTCAGGACTTTTGCGTTTGCAACAGTTATATGAAGCTCTAGACCTGGGTCCAAATAGTCTTAAAGTGGACATGGTCAAACGCATCCAAAATGTATCTGATGCTTTAAATTTTATTCACCAAGTAGAACGAGTGAACAGGTAAAATTAATATTTTTTTTGTACAATAAACATGCTATAAATTAAATTATAAGATTTATATCGTAACCAATTTAGAGTTTATGTAAAAATACGATGATAATTCCCTAAAAATTTTCTTTGATAACATATTTATCAACCCATATAATAAATTCAAATAAATGTACAATACTTATTTACCATATTGATATAATGTGTTACCAAATACCAATAGGTACCTATAATGATTGTATGGCTAAATAAATTAGAAAATAAATCGGTGTATTTGATATTAAAATTAGATATAATTTTTAATTAACATTCGTTGTTACTACCTATTATAGTCAGTTAATGACTACATTTCATACTTTATTGAAAGTAGCTATGATGTATCTTGTGTTTAATACTATGGTTGTAGGTATAATAATATGTGAACATTTACTCGTATATTATAAAACAAATCTATAAATACTATGTACCTATATATATATTTATTTGTTTTCATTATATACGTATTCCAACTTGATAATTACATAATATTTATTTATTCATTTACTTACCTAAATTGCTAAGTTTACAAAAAA